GTCAAAGAAAATTTCTGTACGGCTTGCCCGATAATTCGAGCTTAAACTCGATTGAAAATTGAGTTTGATAGTTGAAATATTGATGAAATCTTTTTGAAGAGAGAATGGTACCTCGTACTATAAACTACAGTGTTCATATTAAAATAATTAAGAAAGTGTATTTATATACACGGAACATAAATAAATAAATATTATATAATGTATACATAGCTATGTATGTATGTAAACAAATGGATAAACTATTTATACATAGTTATGGCGATAATTATATATAATATATATGTATAAAAGACGGGGTGCCCTGCAACTTAAAAGTTTTGATAATTGAGTATTTCATAACAGTAAAAAGAGAAATTACAGTCATACAAGAAATAATTAATATATTCAACAGTTATTTAAAATTTGCAATAAAATATAATACCAGAATATTCCAAATTAAGATACTAATGTCGAAATATTTATAGTCAACCAAATCTATTAAAAGCATATTCCTCTCGATTTATCGGAATCCTTTGTCCTCTAATGAAAGCTCATTACTTTCTCTGTTTCATCTTTGAGTGTGATATATTACAAGTTGTTAACAGTAACCAAAATATTCTGATTCATAATATTCGTATAAAGAAACAAGTAAAACACGTTGTGCAATGAGTTACATATATATATATATAAAACATAATTTTATCGATCCGTTAAGAAAAAAAGACTTCTCAAAGATGAATCAATAGAAAGTAAGATCAAATAAAAATTAAGCAAAATAGTTCTACTATATATTGTCTGTTGTAATGCTTAAATGCAATAAGATAAGCTTCTCGGCAAAAGGTATATGTATAGTTCAACTATCTGTGAAATCGATATTTGCTTTCCAAACAGTTATTACTAGAGCGCTACTTATTAGAGGATATTCGTGCGAGTTCCCGTGTCGAACGTCGAGCACCAACTACGCACGAGTATATCGAGTGTTTGATAAAGTCAGATGACACTGAATTGACAATCTCGACTAGTGCACGCAGTAATTGTTCCGCGTGCGACGTGGGAATTTTGCACTAATCCTGTCCAGGCCCTGGTTATTACATAACATTATGTGACAGAGTCAGAATATAATGTGTTACATA